TGGTACTACTATACTTTCAACTTCCCTTCTTTGCCTCCATAGATAACGTTTTTTGACTCCACATATACTTCAACGCACCACTCACCTTTTTTCCCTCATCAATTCTATGATTAACCTCATCCTTCATAAACCCATCCGCCAACATGTCAACTCCCAAGTATCTGAAAACATTCACTTCTTCCATACTCCTCCTCCCCAATTTGATATCCAATTTTTCTTTATCTAAATCATTTGATACCCTCATCACCTTACTCTTTTCTATGTTCACTTTCAACTTTCTACCTTTACACACATTCTCAAACTCATCCACTAACCTTTGCAATTTTTCTTTAGAATCTCCCATAAGCACAGTATCATCAGCAAAAAGTAACTGTGTCAGTTCCCATTTTGAATTTGATTCCCCATAATTTAACCCCAAACCCCTCTCCCGAACACCCTAGCATTTACTTCTTTTACAACCCCATCTATAAATATATTAAACAACCATGGTGACATTACACATCCCTGTCTAAGACCTACTTTTACCGGGAAGTATTCTCCCTCTCTTCTACATACCCTAACCTGAGCCTCACTATCCTCATAAAAACTCTTTACAGCATTTAGTAACTTACCACCTATTCCATATACTTGCTACATCTGCCACATTGCTCCTCTATCCACTCTATCATATGCCTTTTCTAAATCCATAAATGCAATAAAAACTTCCCTACCTTTATCTAAACACTGTTCACATATATGCTTCAATGTAAACACTTGATCTACACATCCCCTACCCACTCTGAAGCCTCCCTGCTCATCTGCAATCCTATATTCTGTCTTACCTCTAATTCTTTCAATTATAACCCTACCGTATACTTTTCCTGGTATACTCGGTAAACTTATTCCTCTATAATTTTTACAATCTCTTTTGTCCCCTTTCCCTTTATATAAAGGGAGTATACATGCTCTCCGCCAATCCCTAGGTACCTTCCCCTCTTTCATACATTTATTAAACAAAAGTACCAACCACTCCAACACTATATCACTATATCTATATATATCTAAGGACAATGTGTGGTGTAAATATTATGCAGAAAATTCGGAGTGTGGAAATTAGGAGAAGGTGTGGAGTTAATAAAAGCATTAGTCAGAGGGCAGAAGAGGGGTTGTTGAGGTGGTTTGGTCATTTAGAGAGAATGGATCAAAGTAGAATGACATGGAAAGCATATAAATCTATAGGGGAAGGAAGGAGGGGTAGGGGTCGTCCTCGAAAGGGTTGGAAAGAGGGGGTAAAGGAGGTTTTGTGGGCAAGGGCTTGGACTTCCCGCAAGCGTGCATGAGCGTGTTAGATAGGAGTGAATGGAGACGAATGATACTTGGGACCTGACGATCTGTTGGAGTGTGAGCAGGTAATATTTAGTGAAGGGATTCAGGGAAACCGGTTATTTTCATATAGTCGGACTTGAGTCCTGGAAATGGGAAGTACAATGCCTGCACTTTAAAGGATGGGTTTGGGATATTGGCAGTTTGGAGGGATATGTTGTGTATCTTTATACGTATATGCTTCTAAACTGTTGTATTCTGAGCACCTCTGCAAAAGCAGTGATAATGTGTGAGTGTGGTGAAAGTGTTGAATGATGAAAGTATTTCCTTTTCGGGGGTTTTCTTTCTTTTTTGGGTCACCCTGCGTCGGTGGGAGACGGCCAACTTGTTGAAAATATATTTATATATATATATATATATATATATATATATATATATATATATATATATATATATATATTATATATATATATATAAATAATATATATATACAGTGGACCCTCAGCTAACAATGGCATCAGCTAACGTTAAATCCAGCTAACGATACATTTTAATGCAAAAATTTTGCCTCGGCTAATGCTAAAAAACTCACCCAACGCGATTCGTTCGAGACGGGTCCAAGTGTGGCCTGAGCGTGCCTCAGTTGTCCTGTGGGCGCCAGTGTTTACAAGCCAGCCAGTGCGGTCGCATCCACACATACAATCAGAACATTTCATATTATCACAGCGTTTTTAGTGATTGTACCTGCAAAATAAGTCACCATGGGCCCCAAGAAAGCTTCTAGTGCCAACCATGTGGTAAAAAAGGTGAAAATTACTATGGAAATGAAGTGGATAAATGAAAAACAGATAACAGGATATATCATCTCTCAAGCGATCATATGTAAAAAGGGTGGGAAATACATACTATCGTACCACAGTCAGCTGCTGCTGCACCACCATCAGCTGTTGCTGCACCACAGTCAGCTGCTGCTGCACCATGGTCAGCTGCTACTGCACCACAATCAGCTGCTGCTGCACTGCAGCCAGCTGCTGCTGCACCTCAGTCAGCTGCTGCTGCATCACAGTCAGCTGCTGTTGCACCACAGTCAGCTGTTGCTGAACCACGGTCAGCTGTTGCTGCACCAGTCAGCTGTTGCTGGACGACAGTCAGCTGCTGTTGTACCACGGTCAGCTGCTGCTGCACCACAGTCAGCTGCTGCTACACCACCTTCATCTGTTGCTGCACCAAGGTCAGCTGTTGCTGCACCAGTCAGCTGTTGCTGAACCACGGTCAGCTGCTGTTGCACCATGGTCAGCTGCTGCTGCACCACAGTCAGCTGCTGCTGCACCACCATCAGTTGTTGCTGCACCACCAACAGCTGTTGCTGCACCATGGTCAGCTGCTGCTGCACCACAGTCAGCTGCTGCTGCACCACCATCAGCTGTTGCTGCACCACAGTCAGCTGTTGCTGCACCAGTCAGCTATTCCTGAACCACGGTGAGCTGCCACTGCACCATGGTAAGCTGCTGCTGCACCATGGTCAGCTGCTGCTGCACCACCATCAGCTGTTTCTGACCAACATGACTCATCCTGAACCTGTCCATCCAGCCCTGCTGTCATTGTTTACAAGCCAGGGTGGCCGGTTGCTTGCATACATTTGATACATTTTATATTATTCCATTGTTTATAGTGCTTGTAACTGCTAAATAAGCCACCATGGGCCCAAAGAAAGCTTCTAGTGCCAACCCTGTGGTAAAAAGGGCGAGAAATATGTACTATCGTACCACGGTCAGCTGCTGCTGCACCACCGTCAGCTGTTGCTGCACCACAGTCGGCTGTTGCTGCACCACGGTCTGCTGTTGCTGCACCACGGTCAGCTGCTGCTGCACCACGGTCAGCTGCTGCTGCACCACGGTCAGCTGCTGCTGCACCACAGTCAGCTGCTGCTGCACCACAGTCAGCTGCTGCTGCACCACGGTGAGCTGTTGCTGCACCACGGTGAGCTGTTGCTGCACCACGGTGAGCTGTTGCTGCACCATGGTCAGCTGTTGCTGCACCAGTCAGCTGTTGCTGAACCATGGTCAGTTGCTGTTGCCCACGGTCAGCTCCTGCTGCACCACGGTCAGCTGCTGCTGCACCACAGTCAGCTGCTGCTACAGCACCGTCAGCTGTTGCTGCACCAAGGTCAGCTGTTGCTGCACCAGTCAGCTGTTGCTGAACCATGGTGAGCTGCTGTTGCACCACGGTCAGCTGTTGCTGCACCAGTCAGCTGCTGCTGCACCACAGTCAGCTGCTGTTGCACCATGGTCAGGTGCTGCTGCACCACAGTCAGCTGCTGCTGCACCACGGTCAGCTGCTGCTGCACCACAGTCAGCTGGTCCTAGTGGCATTAAAAGAAGAACAGAAGTAACCCGGGAAAAGGACGTGCTACCTAAAGTCCTAATGGAAGGGGATTCCCCTTCTAAACATTAACAACTTCCATACTCTCCCTTCCTCCCATCCCATCAATCATCACCAGATCTTCAATAAAGGTAAGTGTCAGTTTGTGTGTATTAAAATTAATATTTCATGTGGTAAATTTTTTTTTTTCATACTTTGTGGTGTCTTGCATGGATTAATTTGATTTCCATTATTTCTTATGGGGAAAATTAATTCAGCTAACGATAATTTCAGCTAACAATGACCTTTCAGGAACGGATTAATATCGTTAGCTGAGGGTCCACTGTATTCTTTTAACAAGTCGGTCGTCTCCCACCGAGGCAGGGTGCCATCACTCATACATAATCAGTTTTTTGCAGAGGTGCCCAGAACACAACAGTATAGAAGCATATGCGTATAAAGATATACAACATATCCCTCTAAACTGCCAATACCCCATACCCCTCCTTTAAAGTGCATGCATAGTACTTCCCATTTCCAGTACTCAAGTCCGGCTATATAAAAATAACCGGTTTCCCTGATTTTTTTTTTTTTTTTTTTAACAAGTCGGCCGTCTCCTACAGAGGCAGGGTGACCCAGAAAGAAAGAAAATCCCCAATAAGAAAATACTTTCATCATCATTCAACACTTTCACCTCACTCACACATAATCATTGAATCCCTTCACTAAATATTACCCTGCTCACACTCCAACAGCTTGTCAAGTCCCAAAAACCATTCGTCTCCATTCACTCCTATCTAACACACTCATGCATGCTTGCTGGAAGTCCAAGCCCCTCGCCCATGAAACTTCCTTTACCCCCTCCCTCCAACCTTTTCGAGGATGACCCCCACCCTGCCTTCCTTCCCATATAGATTTATACGCTCTCCATCTCATTCTACTTTGATCCATTCTCTCTAAATGACCAAACCACCTCAACAACCCCTCTTCAGCCCTCTAACTAATACTTTTATTAACTCCACACCTTCTACTAATTTCTACACTCCAAATTCTCTGCATAATATTTACATCACACACTGCCCTTAGACAGGACATCTCCACCGCAATCCAAGAGGTACAAGATGCAAAACAACCACGGGGGGAGTAGAATGATAGCTCTAGGCCTTTCATGTTGCAATCAACATATCATCAGGAGCTTGCAAAATTGCAGAAAAGAGGAAGGTTTCCACACGAATATGTTCCCAGAGGACCGCTTTCACTGGAGTGAATGCCTTGCAAAAAACTACTACTTATTTTAATAAACATACTTACTTTTTAAACACGAAAAATAAACTTACATGGTATTCACTGACAAAGTTCAAAGACTTTTCACCCAAGTTCCAGGCATCCCCCTGATGTCCTGTTATTTTCCAGACTGGGTTTATAAAGTTGATATCCACAGATGGACTTTTCACATACAAGCTCAGGGACCCAGTCCAGTTGGTTCGGCCTTGCATAAAAAAGTAGAACTGCAGGCACCTAAAATACATATTAAATCTAATTAAACTAGTAATATGCAAGTTTAAAAATAAATCACACACTTTTCATAAAGAAATAAATAGAAACAAAAAGGTACATTTTGAAATAAAAAAAGACACAAGGAAACATGCTTTCATGAACTGAAGTTTGTATTTATTAAATCACTTGTAATTTTAATAAAACTACAATTAACTGAAGAAGATGAGATACCCCAAGCATAGCTCTACACCTAGAACTACAAACTGGTTAGTAGTCAAAGTTTGGCGGCAAGATTTAAACACATCAGCGTTACTCACCAAGGTCGGGTGACCCAAAAAAAGAAAGAAAAAACTTTCATCATCATTCATACATAATCACTGTCTTTGCAGAGGCGCTCAGATACAACAGTTTAGATGTCACTCCAAACAGCCAATATCTTAACCCCTTCATTTAAAATAGAGGTATTGTACTTCCCATTTCTAGGACTCAAGTCCGGTTAACCAGTTTCCCTGAATCCCTTCACAAAATATTACCCTGCTCACACTCCAAAAGCTTGTCAGGTCCCAAAAACTATTCATCTCCATTCACTTCTATCTAGATATGCTCTTAAAATACAACAATATACATTACATACATTGCTCCTGAACTTTGGTGTGTTGGGCTGGTAAGATAAGCAACTGCATTTTTATTGTCTGTTGAGTGTTTTAGGGAGACATAATGACCCTCAGCTGAATCTGAAAATGTAAAAAGCTTTTTTTAAAAATTTCAGTCAATTAAACGCTGCTGATATTCAAAATGTTAAGTAAATAAAGAGTAACATGGCTGAGCACTCATGTATATTAACATAATTCTCCCAAAAATATAACAAGAAATTTAGTAATAGAGAATTATGAATAACTGAGTTAAGATTACCATATTCATTTTTAATCCTTTTAATTGTCTTATGTTGTAGAATGCAGGTGACAGAGTCCGACATACTAGTATGCACAATTTTTCATCCCTTCAAATATGCCATTTGCTAGAATTTTTGACTTCAGAATAAATGTTTGTATCTCCTACAACCTCTTCATGTCTATGAAAATAATCTAAGTTCAGACAAGTTTGTGCATTACATCATGAGTAACTGGTTAACTTATTTTTTTTATTAACACATTAGCCATTTTCCATCAAGGCAGGGTGTCCCAAAAAAAGAAAAAAAAAAAACACTTTCATCATCATTCACTCCATCACTGTCTTGCCAGAGGCACACCTACACTACAGTTAAAAAACTACAACATCAAAACCCATCCTTCAGAGCCAAGGCACTGTACTTCCTACCTCCAGGACTGTAGTCTGGCTTTCCGGTTTCCTTCAATCCCTTGCTAAGCATTACTTTGCTCTCACACCAACAACACGTCAAGTCATAAAAACCATTTGTCTCCACTTGCTCCTATTTAATACACTCAGGCACGTTTGCTGGAAGTTCAGGCCCCTTGCACACAAAACCTCCTTTACCCCCCTCTCCCTCTAACATTTCCTCCCCTGTCTTCCTTCCACTGCAGATTTATATGCTCTCCAAGTCATTCTATTTTGTTCCATCCTCTCTAATTGTCTGAACCACCTCAACAACCCCTCCTCAGACCTCTGGATATTGTAAGATTTCCTTATAAATATATATTTTACAGTGGTTTTGAAGGCACACAGGTTATAGACACATAGAAAGTATTTACAACATGCTTATATAACCTGGGATATTCTCTTGAACCTCAGCATATAATATAATACAGGAAAGCCTGGCTTTACAGTGCTTCATTTACAGCATTTAACTAGTGCAGCAGTTTTCAATTTAGCGGTCTCGACGATGTTTACACATCGGCGATTTTGCCCACTTTGAGCCCTATTTTCGGCCAATTCCAGTGAACTAGTCGACAAAAATCATAACTATTTTGCTAGAACTCCATTTTCTCTATCGAATGAGTACAAGAAACCACCCATTTACCGATTTCAACTATCCAATAAAGTCGTCAGAATTTAGCAATTTTGCCAATTTCACACAAATTTCAAAAGAAGCCAATTTCCAAATAGGGTCTAGAATAAACAAAAAAGACATTCCTGGCACTATAAATAACATGTTCTCTGTTCGTTAGTGACATTCCCAGGTCCCTCTTATATTTCTTTGGCTTTCCACTTTGAATTTTTATTCTTACAAAAAATAGAAGATTTACTGTTATGCAGACTACTGCATTAGTGTAGAAATGATATAAATAAGATCAGTACACTTGTGAAAGAATATTAGACTCACCAGTTGACGTGTATTGGACGCTTGGCATGATTTGTTTACTTTTGAACTTTGGTAAAAATCGAAAATTTCTGCTACTTTGAGCTCAATTTCAAGGTACTTTTCATTGTAAAACCAGTCAAAATCATCTCAATTTCTGTAATATGTCTTCCATTCTATAAAATGAGACCAGGAAAACTAGAATACAACAATAAATACCATACGAAAATGCACTGCAAAGTTGCTGTTTTAATCCAAAAACATGTTTACCTGGAGTTTACCTGGAGAGAGTTCCGGGGGTCAACGCCCCCGCGGCCCGGTCTGTGACCAGGCCTCCTGGTGGATCAGAGCCTGATCAACCAGGCTGTTACTGCTGGCTGCACGCAAACCAACGTACGAGCCACAGCCCGGCTGATCAGGAACCGACTTTAGGTGCTTGTCCAGTGCCAGCTTGAAGACTGCCAGGGGTCTGTTGGTAATCTCCCTTATGTATGCTGGGAGGGAGTTGAACAGTCTCGGGCCCCTGACACTTATTGTATGGTCTCTTAACATGCTAGCGACACCCCTGCTTTTCATTGGGGGGATGTTGCATTGTCTGCCAAGTCTTTTGCTTTCGTAGTGAGTGATTTTCGTGTGCAAGTTCAGTACTAGTCCCTCTAGGATTTTCCAGGTGTATATAATCATGTATCTCTCCTGCCTGCGTTCCAGGGAATACAGGTTCAGGAACCTCAAGCTCTCCCAATAATTGAGGTGTTTTATCTCCGTTATGCGCGCCGTGAAGGTTCTCTGTACATTTTCTAGGTCAGCAATTTCACCTGCCTTGAAAGGTGCTGTTAGTGTGCAGCAATATTCCAGCCTAGATAGAACAAGTGACCTGAAGAGTGTCATCATGGGCTTGGCATCCCTCGTTTTGAAGGTTCTCATTATCCATCCTGTCATTTTTCTAGCAGATGCGATCGATACAATGTTATGGTCCTTGAAGGTGAGATCCTCCGACACGATCACTCCCAGGTCTTTGACGTTGGTGTTTCGCTCTATTTTGTGGCCAGAATTTGTTTTGTACTCTGATGAAGATTTAATTTCCTCGTGTTTACCATATCTGAGTAATTGAAATTTCTCATCGTTGAACTTCATATTGTTTTCTGCAACCCACTGAAAGATTTGGTTGATGTCCACCTGGAGCCTTGCAGTGTCTGCAATGGAAGACACTGTCATGCAGATTCGGGTGTCATCTGCAAAGGAAGACACGGTGCTGTGGCTGACATCGGTCAGAGTTTTTTTTATAATTATGCACTGTGTGCTGCAGGATTTTTTTAATACTGCGCATACTGACCACATAGACCCATTCTTTCATATGTAGGCCTACCAGCTTTCTGTCACTAGATTTGAGGGCGCTAGAATTTAGGTGTACTAATATGTCAAAAACCCTGGGGCGTAAGCCGTACTAGTATGGCCGAAACCGGAAAGGGTTAAGGAAAATAATGTGTAATGCATATGCATTTTTGGACCTAGCTATATTGCTCACTTAATATATGATAGTGTAAACATGTTATCAGGCTTTTATATGCATCTGAAAGTGAAAAAAAGGCCATGAATGACCTTAAAGCGATTCTTGCTTTACAGCAGTAGCCCGGAACTTAACCTGCTGTATATGCAAGGCCCCTCCTGTAATTAACCTAGGAAAACCCATTAGAGTCAAACAATGTGATTTATTTTCATGTTTTGAGGAGTATTGCACCTTGTAATATCATAAATATTCCTTGTATATAGTGTTATAAAACCAAAGAATCAGGCTCTGATCCACCATGAGACCTGGTCACAGACCGGGCCGTGGGGGCAATGACCACCAAAACCCTCTCCAGGTATCTCCAGGCATACTGCAAGTGAAGTAATGCTGGGTTATGCATATCCCTATCTTTCAAATACTGAAACACATCTAATATCATAAGAAATTAGTGTATACAGTGTTATGAAAAAAAGTTAAAAACAATAATAATTTGGCATCAATATAGTGTGGAATGTAAATATAGCTAGCGAATTTACATTGCTACTGCCGACAAGTGATAATTTTTTCGCTAAATTTGTCACACCATAAAATCTTAAGCTTTTATCAGATTCCATTCATTTCAGACTCATTCATTTCATTAAAATGCTCTTATTCAATCTGTAAGTTCTTTTGTTTTCAAGATCAAGACACACACAAAAGAAATTCAGTTTATGGGTATGTCACAGTTAAAAGGTTAATTTATGTGAAAATGGACATTAGGTAATTGACAGCTGAGCTTGTCACCAATAAAAGCTCTATCATTCAGGAACTGAAAAAAATATCCCATCCCTATGTTTTTAAAACTCATTTCACTGCTAGTGCTCTGAATATTTTGAAAAAGAAAAAAATTGAAAACAAAGAGGGCAATTTTCTGTGTAATAAGACCAAAATACAAAATTTAGGGTCAGTACTTATCGAGATATAAGGCGGCAAAGCTGGCACTAGATGCTTATGTGACAGCAACATGGAGTCCTGCCACTTGCAGAAATGTTGCTGATATATCTTTTTTCTCATTTTTTTGATTTATATTATTTTTATGTTCTGATAATTACAATTTATAGTATGTAGTTCTTTCGATTTTATAGCCAATCTTCGTTCTGACACTAATATTACGCACAGAAATAGTAATCAGTCACAATGTTTTAGAAATGCTGAAGTATATGAAACATGGTGTCAGACAAGAGTGTCACTCTACACTGCTGATGGTGCAGACACTCAATATTGCTGATTCTGCACTGCTCCCAGTGAACTTTAGCACAGGATTTTTTATTTGTTCTCACTGTTCCACACACACATACATGTCTGTCTCTGTCTATCTCTGTTTATCTCTGCCTGTCTCTCTCTCTTTCTCTGTCTTCCTGTCTTTCTTTCTATCTGCCTGTCTCTCTGTCTCTCTCTGTCTGCTTGTCACTCTCTCTCTCTCTCAGAGAGCCACTCATGAATGAACACATATTACACATGCTGCAGAATTGCCATGTCTGTACGAGTGGAAATGCGTATTACTTGTCAGTCATATTTATGCCTCATCAACAAGCACAGAATAGCACTTTGTCTGGCTTTTTTGGGTTATCTTAGGTAATTTACACTATGTATGATAATTGTACTTATGTGTACCTGTGCCTAAATGAACTTACTTAGTCCTTGATTCTGGTCCATGAGCAGCTCTCTGTCATAGAGACAGGCAGATAGAGAGAGACAGAGTTAGCCAGCCAGCCAGCCAGCAAGAGCCATCTAGCCAGCCAGAGCCATCTAGCCAGCCAAAGTCAGCCAGCCGGCTAGCCGGTCAGCCAGGCAGGCAGCCAGCCAAACATGTATTACACGTGTTGCAGAATCATCTCTCTCTCTCTACTTAGGGCATTAGTTGATAGGACATTCTGGCAGGATGACACTACCAGTTGCATCAAAATTGAAAGGATGTAGAACAAATGTTGCACATGGGTTATTATCTAGGTTTTTGATATTTCCTTGACCACTTGTTGCCACATCTATCTCAAAGTCCCTAAACTAGGTGTTAACATCACTTTCCTCCTAAAAGGAGTGTTAATATGACATAACATTAGTGAATCTCTGAGGTCTGCCATGCTGTCTGCTCTAGCTGGTGCTCCCACAAGGTACTAAGTGGTCCCAGATTTTTTTTAATACTGCACACACTGAGTGTTAAGACCCATTCTATACTGCCGAGGCCTATCAGACCTCTGGTACCAAATTTGAAGGCAGGGGAAAATAAAACTTTGATCTATCTAAGTTTGGAGTGCTAGCAGTAAGAATGTAGATCAACATTTGGACAGTTAAAAGGATAAGTACTAATGGATGTCTTGTCCATTTTCTTCACCTTTACATTATCCTACTCTTAGATTATTCTTCATATCTTAGTGACTATATTGTGTGTGCAATTAGTGTATATTCCAATTACATTATTGTTCAAGTTCCAAAACTTTCTTTTGCTAGCTAGTACCAACTACCTCATATTATTTTTACTTTTTATAGTACAATAAATTGCTCAACTTATTATATATTACAAAACAGATCCTACTCCCAAATCAATATTACATCATAGTGACTGTCTGTCAGTTTACTTTGTTTACCATTACTTAATTTAGTCCCTTATATATTTTCTCCCTTATTTTAGCTTCATATAACTACCTTAGTTCATATACTCACAATTGTTAAAATAATCAAGGTGCTATTCTCAGGTGCTAAAGTGTAATAAGTTCACTATTTTGCCATTATATTCCCTAGCTCATTTATTTTATTACCACTCTATTTGTTCACCACAAACTATTTTAGTCCCTTTATATTGTCTCCTTTATTTTAGCTTTAAAGTACTACCTTAGCTCATATTTTTACATTTGTTAAAATAATTCAGGTGCTATTTTATAGCTTTAGAATACAGTGGAACCTCTACTTGTGAGTGTGTCCACGTGCGAGTTTTTCCAAATACGAGCAGTCGATGGGGCGATTTTTTGTTTCCATACGCGAGCAAAATATCCAGAAGCGAACAGACCTCAAGGCAGGTTCCTTGACACTGGTGAGGGGCTCTTGCTCGAGAATTGTATCTCATTTGTTTGAAGAATTGAGACACTTATGCAACACATGGGAATCTTTATTGAAGAAACGTTTCGCCACACAGTGGCTTCATCAGTCCAATACAAAGTAGAAGTGGGTAAGGAGAGTAGAAGTTTGAGGTAATCAGTCCCTCAACCTGGATTCGATGTGTTCAGTCCATCACTCTTGTAGGAAGTGCAGCATAGGGCCAGAGAGGTGGCTTATATACTGCGGTGAGATGAGTTGAAGCAGGAGGAGGCGGGATCACAGTGGGACCTGCCACTAGTGTAAGTAGGTCGTCGTCCAAAGGTTGGGCAAGCGTTGAAGTCTTTGTACCAAGATCCCATGATGTTGCAGTGTCTGACAGATGTGATGAATGGTTTTGAAAACCGACAAGTTGAAGAATTGAGACACTTATGTGTTGAGGGACTGATTACCTCAAACTTCTACTCTCCTTACCCACTTCTACTTTGTATTGGACTGATGAAGCCACTGTGTGGCGAAACGTTTCTTCAATAAAGATTCCCATGTGTTGCATAAGTGTCTCAATTCTTCAACTTGTCGGTTTTCAAAACCATTCAACACATGACCATAACACAAGGCACAGATCACTCTTTGATGTTCCTCGTGTCCATCTCACGCTATGCAAAAACTCAATGCACATAAAAGGCCCTAAAATCTGGAATTCATTACCTGTAAATATAAAAGAAACACTGTCTGTTTATAAATTCAAGTCTCTTCTCAAAATCACTTACTCACCCACAACCAAATAAATACTGAATAATTGTATCTTAAAAATTGTATCTCATAAATGTTTCTCATAATTGTATCTCATAAATGTTTAACCTGATACCCAATCAAACTTTGTTATTTTTTTAATTACATTACCTAACAGAATACTCCATTCTACTGAATGCACAGCAATACAGTAAATGACCATATGACCTGTCTTTGTAATACTCATTTGTGCTTAATTGTTATCTGTTTACAATAATGTTTTACCACTGAATATATCACTGCTTAGTTAATCTTAACCCTTTGACTGTTTCGGTCGTATATATACGTCTTATGCACCACTGTTTCTGACGTATTTATACGCGTAAATTCTAGCAGTTTCAAATCAAGCGGGAGAAAGCTGGTAGACCCACATGTGAGAGAATGGGTCTGTGTGGTCAGTGTGCACCACATAAAAAAAATCCTGCAGCATGCAGTGTGTAATGAGAAAAAAAAAAGCTCTGACCGTTTTTTTTGGATTAAAACGCCGACTTTGAGGTGTATTTTCGTATAGTATTTATCATTGTATTCTCGCTTTCATGTTGTCACGTGATAAAATGTTAAACATATTACAGAAATAGAGATGATTTTGATTACTTTCACGATGAAAACGACCTTGAAATTGAGCTCAAAGTAGTGGAAATGTTCGATTTTTACCTATGTTCATGAGTAAGCAAATTACACCACATGTCCAATACACTTCAACTGGGGAGTATAATATTCTTTCACTAGTGCATTGATATTATTTATACCATTTTTACAATAATGCAGTAGTCTGCATAACAGTAAATTTTGTATTTTTTTTTTGTATGAATAAAAAATCAAAATAGAAAGCAATAGTAATATAAGAGGGGCCTAGAGACGTGACTAATGAACAGAGGATATGTTATTTTAGTGCCAAGAATGTCTACATTGTTTATTCTGGACCCTATTTTGAAATTGGCATCTTTTTTAATTTGCGTGAAATTGGCCAAACTGCCAATTCCTGACCACTTTATTGGGTAGTTCAAATCGGTAAATGGGCAGTTTCTTGTACTCAACAGATGGAAAAAATGGAGTTCTAAAGAAATAGTTATGAGTTTGGTCAACTGGAACAACGGAACTGGCCAAAAACAGGGCTCAAAGTCCGCGAAATTGCTGATGCATACATGTTGCCGAGACCGCTAACTTTGCGGGAGCATAATTCCGTGATTTTTTGACCAAATTTCGTGCTTTTGGTGTCATTACCATCGGGAAAAGATTTTCTATCATTTCATAAAAATAATTTATTTTTTTCCAAAAAATTATCGACATAGAATGACAGTTTCAGAAAGGGGCCTGCAATAGTCAAAGGGTTAAGTTAATTTTAAGCCTGCCCATAATGCTCTGCATACAAGGGGCTTTGGCATGTTGCACTTAACTGTATTCATTTGTACTACTCTGTATCATGTTCAAATTAATAATAATAAATAAATAAATAAATAAATAAATAAATAAATAAATAAATAAATAAATGCAATTAAACCTATTTTTTCTTTATACATTAATTTTTTTAAAGCTTTACTTCGATTCTTGATTTCAAATATCACATTGACATTTTTCAATTTAAGAATTTATATTTTTAGTAAAAAGTACACACATTTGTGGAATATAAACTCAGGTGCTGAGAGTTCTTAAGCATTTAGGCTAACCAGTACACCCTCAATGAATAAAAGAATCAGAAATAGTGAACCACAATAGACTCAATCTGGACTGTGGAATGATAATCAGAGCCCACAATTTATATTTTACTTGATACCCGCTAGTGCTTGGGTATGACTGGCAAAATTCAATCTATCCCAGTTACCAACACATGATTCAGCTCTTCACAATAAGGGGAAATTATATATTGACATTTTAGTGATTCAATGGTTCTGATTCTTTTCCCTACTCACTGAGACATTACTTATCATGAAGACTGTGGAGTCCACAGAACCAAAGTTCAAATCCTACAGGCATGGTAAAGCACTCAGTTGCATTTATCCATTTTATTATTTTTTACTTGGATTTACTGAGAGTGGTCTAAAAATTTTCACTACTTTGATCTGTTATTTTTGACTACATTGGCCATTTCCTGGAAAAGTAGGGTGACCCAAAGAAGGTTTCAGCTACTTCACAAAACCAAAAATGCTGAAAGAAACAGCAAACACAATAAGTTACCAATCTACCTGGAGATAATTAGTAAATAGATGGATACATGAATAACAGCTCTTATTGTAGCCAGCTGGCCCAATGGCTAATGTGTCAGTCTGGAGTTTTACGACTCTCTGATCGTAGGTTCTATCCCCGTTTGTGGTATGGTTTATTTGCAATCGTGTTATTACGATTTCACGAGTCAATATAAGAAGTCTTTGTTTTTCTCAGAGGACCAATCAGAGACTCATAACTCCTTCCTTTGAGGAGTGAAGATGTAAGATATGAAGCAGTGTAGTTCTAGACTTGGAAGGTGGTGGCTTCCAGTTGCTTGTAAGTAGGAACATGACTGTTTAAACTCACTTTAGAAAAATCATAAAAATCTATGACAGCTATGGCAAAAGTCAAAGGAGTTAAACAGATCCTAGAGAGAACCAATCTATAACATACTATAAGCACATCCAAATCCCTCTATTATTTCAATGATAGAATGTTAAAAGGGTAAAGAAGAAGCAGTATACAAGATTTACTAATAATATGTTAAGAACAAAGCAAAAGTCTGAAAAGAAGATAAATGGCAAAATTATAAGTAATCCCACATTAAAATTCATAGAGTGACAATAACATATTTACCAAATGTGTGATCAGAATTTGGTCCATTGCTGTGGTCCAAATTTTGGCCTGAGTTCCAAATCCATGTTGCTCCTTGATCAGCAGTTGGTGTCCATTCACAAAGATCTGATGTTTCAAAATCACAGGTGTTTCCTGAGAAAATATTTGCAATGTTAATAGAAAAGTGAAAAAGTATAGCTAATATCTCATTCAAAAAATTTAATTAGATTTATACCTGTAAGATGCAACAAGACACTGTGAGACTATAGTTCATAGTGGCAGCTATTTAAAAAAAAAAAAAAAAAAAAAAAAAGATAATGTACCTCTAAGGCTGTCACAAGAACCATCTGTGAGCAAGATGTCATCAACTGCTGAGTGACCCAAATCTCCATTGCTGTTCTGTGTATTACCAACCAGTGCTATGTACTGTGCATATTCTTGTTTTTGTATGAAGAGATGAACCTGCTGCCATGTCTCTCCCATCTCTCGAAGGTGAACCCAATCAGGAAAACTTGATATGCCAGGCTTCTCACCAGCTGTATTAGATAAAATTTATTAATAACATGTACTACAGCCTTTCCTCACTTAACGACGGAGTTCCGTTCCTAAGACCAAGTCAGTAAATGAATTCGTTGTTAAGCAAGGAACATACTATAATGGTAGTGGGTTTGTGTCAACCATCTTTGATATTGTTTTAATGTCACCTTTGCACCATTTATAACATTTTTAGTATATTTCTAAATGTTTATACAGTAGTGTACTGTTTATTGTAATAAAGAGAATAGAGGAAATCAGCTCTAATATACATTATTTATGTATGCACACTGGTTAGAGATCCTATCATAAGTCTGAGTCATCAGTAAATGAGTACATCGCTATAACTACATGAGAGTAAGTATAATTATCATTTAATATACAATCCAGCTAAACTGGATAATTAATAAAAAAAGATCCATACAAATTCAATTAAATAAACTTAAGAATAAGAAAATCCCTTGAAAAATTCTATCTCTAAAGGATGAATGTAGTAAAATATAGCAAAATTCTTCACTGAATATACACTTTCATCTTCAGCTCCTGATACTGCTGACAGTACTAAATTCGAGAGTTTCTTTTTATTCACAGGAGCTAACCTAACAATTCTTTAGTATCTTAACCATATCTCTTGATAAAATTCTACCACTCAAACAGGAACCCATAATATCTACACCAAATGACCATTTGCCAAATTTGAATACGATCCATCAGCTGATGTTAGCTTTACTGAGAAAGGTTGATATAAGTACCCCTTCTCTTACAATACACAGGGCTGTTCCTAGACGTTTTAAATATAAATGTATGAACCTGATCTGTAAACCTTGAAAAATTTACATAAAATATTAATTCTTATAATCACTTAACACAATTTGCTCAAACACAACTATTAAAATCCAGTGTACAAACTAAACAGACACTAACCATACTTAAATTCAACAGCCATACACTGTACCAAAGTTAAATACATTTGATAAAGTAACACCCAAAAATTATAATAAAAAATGTATTTAGTAAAAGATAGGTGTTGTGGGTAATGTTTCTGTAGCAAAGAAAGTGGTGTGTCTGACAAATCCCTCCTCACCCAGTAAACATGACATTTAACATTATTGGTCTCTCATGCATTTCTCATAAATAAGTTGTACAAACAATTAAGATGTTTTAGAGTGTTGAAGTTATATCTGTGAGGCTCCCTTATTTCCATTTGATAAAAATCAGGGTTGTCAGATTCCAGGAAGTGTGAGTGAAGGCACACTGCCACTGACCTTCCCTCCCTCCCACTTCCACCAAACACTTACTACACTATCTTACTCTTCACCATACATTCACATCACTTTACCAAACATCTGAATTTTGTGTGCAGCCTTATTTATGATGAATGCACAAAAGACTGATAATGTTTAATCAATCAATCAAGTTTATTCTCTATAATGATTACAATGTGGGGTTTACAGATTTTGAATATTGTGTGGTTTACATGTTTTAAAATACTAATTACAGAGGGGGCCACTAGGACACCTAGCATGGCTAGGCATTTCAGGCAGACTTAGATTAATTCTAAACGTTAAATTATTACAGATTATGGTATTAAGGCTAAGTGATTACATTACAGTTTGTGAGTTTAGCAATGTGAATGCTTTTGCTTTGGCACAATACATAGTGTCTATATTGGAGTATCATAGGCAAACTTATGACTAGTTAGGCTTCATTATTTTAAGATTAAGATTCGTATTTCTGTGTTTATAGTCAATGGGTGAGTGAGTGTAAGTGTGAACCACCAGGTGGTTTACATGTAGTTAGTTGACGGGGTGTATCAGGGAGATAAGATGTTTTCTAACAGTAATTTTGAAAGTGATGAATGTGTCTGCAGTTCTAGAGTTTTCAGGTAGGGTGTTCCAGATTTTATGCCCTTTGACACACATCGAATTTTTGTAAAGGTTTAGTCGGACACGGGGAATGTCATACAGATGTTTGTGTCTGGTGTTATGCCTGTGGGTTCTGTCACAACTATCAAGAAAACGTTTTAGGTCAAGGTTAATATTGGAATTTAAGGTCCCATAGATGTAGATTGCACAGTACAGTAGTAAGTGTGGATGTTCTGAACAGGAAGTAAGTTTAAATCTATGAAGAGTGTGGGGGGGGAGTTGCCAGGGATGGGATTTAGTGATTATTCTTACTGCGGCTTTTTGTTGGGTTATTAGTAGCTTTAGATGTGTTGCTGCAGTTGATTCCCAAGCACAAATAGCATAGGTGAGGTATGGATAAATGAGTGAATGATATAGTGTGAGAAGGGCAGTTTGTGGCACGTAATATCGTATCTTGGAGAGGATCCCCACCGTTTTGGATACTTTTTTTGTTATGTGTTGGATATGGGTGCTGAAATTTAGGTTGCTGTCGAGGTATAGACCTAGGAATTTGCCCTCATTATGTCTGGCAATTAGAGTGTTGTCGATCTTAGTGTTAAGTTGCGCAACACCTGCTCTGCTACCAAACATAATGCAGAAGGTTTTGTCAGTGTTAAGTGTAAGTTTATTGGAAGTCATCCAAGTCAGAATTTTGAGCAGCTCCTCATTGACAATGGTGTTGAGGGTGGCAAGATTAGGGTGGGAGATGACGTAAGTCGTGTCGTCAGCACAGAGAATGGGTTTCAGGTGTTGGGATACATTTGGAAGATCATTAATGTAAATGAGGAAGAGCAGGGGACCAAGGACACTTCCTTGCGGAACTCCAGTATCAAGTGGCCGTGTTGATGAGGCTGTGTCTTTAACGGTGACATACTGATACCTATTAGTAAGGTAGGATTTGAAATATGCAAGTGCATGGCCTCTTATACCATAATGGTCAAGTTTGTGGAGTAGGATGCCATGATCTACTGTGTCAAACGCTTTTCTTGGGTTAATAAAAATTCCTAGTGGATATTCCTTATTTTCCAATGCTGTGTAAAGCAGATCTAGCATTTTTATGATTGCATCATTAGTGCTTTTATTTTTCCTGAATCCAAATTGGCAGGGGTTGAGTATGTTTTGTGCCGTTATAAATGAATATAGTCTCCTGTGCACCAGCACCATTCTGAAATCCATTGATAAGAAGCACCAATATGAAAAGCAATATAGACAGGGCTTAATACACAAAGATATTCTTAAACACTATTCATCAGTCCTCACCAAAGTAATAAAGAAAGCCAAACAACTATACTACTCCAGTAGATTCACCGACACAAGAGGAGATATAAAAAAGACCTGGAAAACACTCTCTCAGATTCTAGGGACCCACAAACTGAAAAAAACCAAGAATATTGTCCTAACTAAACCTAATGAAACACCACTGCAACCCACCGACACAGCTAACAAGATAAACGACTTCTCCTCAACCATAGGTTCTAATCTCGCCAATAAAATCCCACGTACCAATGCCCATGCCGGGGACTACCTAGATGGGAATTTCCCAAATTCCTTCTATCTTGCTCCAACTGAGCCCACGGAAGTCACTGAGATTATAAAGTCACTTAAAAATAACTCAGGGAATCTGTCTCATGTCCCACCATTATTGTACAAGAGAGTGGCCCATGTCCTCTCGCATACTATCTCATTACTTTTTAACAAGTCACTAGAAACTAGCACCTTCCCAAAACTACTCAAGATGGCAAGGGTTACACCAATACATAAAGGTGGTGACCCTACAGATTTAAACAACTACAGTGGACCCCCGGTTAATGATATTTTTTCACTCCAGAAGTATGTTCAGGTGCCAGTACTGACCGAATTTGTTAAGATAAGATAAGATAAGATTTTGTTCGGATTTTTAACCCCGGAGGGTTAGCCACCCAGGATAACCCAAGAAAGTCAGTGCGTCATCGAGGACTGTCTAACTTATTTCCATTGGGGTCCTTAATCTTGTCCCCCAGGATGCGACCCACACCAGTCGACTAACACCCAGGTACCTATTTGCTGCTAGGTGAACAGGACAACAGGTGTAAGGAAACGTGTCGAAATGTTTCCACCCGCCGGGAATCGAACCCGGGCCCTCCGTGTGTGAAGCGGGAGCTTTAGCCACCAGGCCACCGGGCCACATAAGAAATATTGTGAAGTAGATTAGTCCATTTCAGACCCCCAAACATACACGTACAAACGCACTTACATAAATACACTTACATAATTGGTCGCATTCGGAGGTAATCGTTATGCGGGGGTCCACTGTATAGGCCAATATCAAACTTACCATTCCTATCCAAAATCTTTGAGAAACTCGTGCGCAGGAGACTATATTCATTTATAACGTCACAAAACATACTCAACCCCTGCCAATTTGGATTCAGGAAAAATAAAAGCACTAACGATGCAATCATAAAAATGCTAGATCTGCTTTACACAGCATTGGAAAATAAGGAATATCCACTAGGAATTTTTATTGACCTAAGAAAAGCTTTTGACACAGTAGACCATGGCATCCTACTCCACAAACTTGACCATTATGGTATAAGAGGCCATGCGCTTGCATATTTCAAATTTTACCTTACTAATAGGTATCAGTATGTCACCATTAAAGACACAGCATCAACAACACAGCCACTTGATACTGGAGTTCCACAGGGAAGTGTCCTTGGTCCCCTGCTCTTCCTCATATACATCAATGATCTTCCAAACGTATCTCGGCACCTGAACCCCATTCTCTTTGCTGACGACACAACTTATGTCATCTCTCACCCTAATCTTGCAACCCTCAACACCATTGTTAATGAGGAGCTGATCAAAATATCAACTTGGATGACAGCCAATAAACTTATGCTTAACGTTGACAAAACCTACTACATTATGTTTGGTAGTAGAGCAGGAGATGCGCAAATTAACATTAAGATCGACAACACTCTAATTGCCAGGCATAATGAGGGCAAATTCCTAGGCCTATACCTCGACAACAACCTCAACTTCAGCACCCATATCCAACACATAACCAAAAAAGTATCCAAAACGGTTGGGATCCTCTCCAAGATACGATAATATGT